TGCCAACATGTCAGTTTACTGGCATGTTCGTAGGCCATCACCATGAATGAGGCAGATATCTGAATAATTGAAGTAATCCCATGCTGTCCTGTGGCTGTCAGCAGCATGCTTCAAATGAAAAATACATTTCAAAAAGCTGCCGTTTGAGCAAGAAAGATGCAATGAATTGAGCTTGTGTGGTGTAATGTGCGCAGGCTACCAAACAGCTCCTGAACCCTTTGTCTTTACTTCTGAAACTTCCTACTGTCTCTGAGTGGTCCACATATCACTGAGATGGTTACAGCACTGGACAGAGGACTACAAGGCATAGGATGGCATTGATTATGCTTAAATTATGCTCATAACTGTGTGATGGATAGTGGTTTGTTTTCGGTTAGTTCTTTTGTCATTTGAGCTATATGGCTTCCTTTTAGAAATTGATAAAATTCAGCACTGTGTTGTTTTCAGATATGGCAGTTTTTGATGAGAAATGCATAATGAAGGTATTGAGTACATGCTTTCTCAGTACTGCTGCTTCATGCTAAAAAAGACTTTTTGGTTAGATTGTTTTTGTTCAGTTCTGCTTCTTTGAAAGTTACACCAAAGAGAGCCTTATACAATATTGTAAATATTAACCAGACAGAAAGCATTTTTTCTGGAAAGGAAACTTAGTATTTATTTAGTTTTTATGTATGTTGAACTGTTCTTTCAAAGCAGTCTGTATCACTCAGCTAATGACCTGATATTTTCATTTTCAGTTAACCAAGTTCTTATCTGTTATCTAAAATTGAAAATTAACGTCTTTGTGAGACGTTAGTACTGGTTACTGTTGGGGACGTGGATCGGCATCTTTCTCTCTCTCTTTCTTGCTCCCCTACTTTGAGTTCATGGATGAGGTAATGAGAGTCACTTATTTGGATGTGGATGCATTCCCTTGTGAAAGAGCCTCTCCTATACTCTGTCACAGATTCTCTCTCTCTCTCTCTCTCTCTCTCTCTCTCTTTCTCTCTCTCTCTCTCTCTCTCTCTCTCTCTCTCTCTCTCTCTCTCTCTCTCTCTCTCTCACACACACACTCAGCCCCTTACCCTCAGAGATGGGTACTTTTCAGGCTTGGATCCCAACTGTGGTCTCAGCACATTCAAATACTCCTATATGCTTTTAATTATTCTCACTGCAGATGGGCTTTCTGCTGACCACACCCAGCATCCCTGCCTTTCTCCTCTTTCCACTTTTTCCCCCCTTGGCAGTCTTTCTAATTTTTTGGTCCGCTCGTACAACTCCTACGAAAGTTCTTCATAAAAGACCCCTCCCATTGAGTCTGTTCTGCAGCAGTGTTTCTCTATTTTTGTGGAACACAAAGACTCGACTGCTACTTAGGCATAAACAAAAGAGTGCCACTATGGTGTATTTTGTATTTTAGTGTTGTCTGAGATGGCTTTGTGGAATCTGGCAACATTAAATGCCAAGACCTCTTAAATTATACAAACCAGCTGACTAAGTGAGCTCAGAGCAAACATCTTTCTACCGTGTGACTGTGTGCTAGCAACAGTTGAGAGCTCTGTGAATAGAGGTTAAATTGTATATAGAATAGTATATAGGAAGCATAAGATGAAATGACATTTTAAAAAGTATGATTCTCATGTACTCAATGTTCACACGCCGTATAGTAGCATATACGCTTTGGCTGTCACATTCATGACAAGGGGTAAAGTTTTGTATGTAGTTCTATTTTGTCATTTCCCCATCAGCTACTGTAATAATGTCTTTAGTTTGTCCTCTGCTGAAACTGACAGAAGTAATGGTCTAAAATGGTAGCAAATTTTATTCTTTGTGCTATTGTTCTTAGTTATTTAACTTATTAAATTTGTCTCATGTTGAGCTGGGTATGAAGCACTATAATGATTCTGATGGAATTACTTCAATAACAGCAATTATCAAAAACTCCAGTACTTTCAGTACCTCAGACGTCAGTCTCATGAGCAAGCTGGCTCATCTAGACTGGTGACTGGCTGATAAGTATGTTACTGTTATAAGAAGTTTGTTTTATAAGTACAAATAAAAAAAGTAGCCTGCAATAACAGTCTTCAAAATTTAAGATGGCTGGTTAAGACGGAAAAGAATGAAGAAAAAAGTGTGTTTGTTTATTTTTCCTCACCAATAAAATAATAAAAAAATAAAATAATCCTCCTTTACAATAGAATAAAGCTCTGCTGATCGTTCTTACTCAATTTTAACAATAAATGGTCTTAATCGCTGGACATAACGTAGTTTACAACTGGTAATTTCCCAACCTTTGACCCTGAAACGCAGAAAACAATCTCACCTAGCTAGTAGCTAACCAAAAGGCAAAGAGAAAGATTTAAGATTTGTCTATATAGTAACAAGTAACACACTGTAAAAACCTTAAGTAATTAACTAAGTTAATGACTTGATTATTAATTACTCTTCTTGTTACTTTTCTTGCCTTGCTATCCCTTTGCTGCTGTAACACTGAGAATTTCCCCATTGTGTGACTAATAAAGGATTATTGTATCTTATCTTAAGATGAACATTGATGATTTAGAGACTAATGTACTCATTTTCTTTTTATAAGCACCCCAGTTGGTTTCCTGATACATTTAATCTGTAACGAGAAACTGTCAAACACTAAAAAGTCGCAACGCTGAAGTCAGATTCTTCTTCACTAGTTTCTTGTTCGAATTCTCCTGTTTTATCTTAAATGGTGTAGCAGTTACAAGTTGGGTGCGTAAGGCGCCATTTAAAGTGTAACAGGAAAATTCGAACAAGAAGCTGATGAATGAGAAGCTGACTTCATTCTCATAAAAAAACTGAACATTAAGGGACATTTCACAAGAAACTAATCTATTTTTGTGGAAAAGTTTCCTGCTGGAGATGCGAGAAAAGTGGCTGTAGCTGAGCTAAAGCTTAAAGCAGTGCAAAGTAATATATTTTTTTTAGCCTATACTAGTACGTCACCACATACTGAGACATTTTGTTAAAAGGCCAAAATGACTCTTAACATTTGGGTTGCCGAACCCCTGAATTAGGGCAAGTCGTCTTGGTCCTGCAGAAGCAAAGCAGCCCCAGACCATTACACTACCACCACCATGTTTGACTGTTGTTTTTTTGGTGGATTGTGATGTTAGCTTTATGCCAGATGTAATGGGAACCATGTCTTCCAAAGAGTTCCACCTTTGACTCATCAGTCCACAGAATATTATTCTAAAAGTCTTAAGGGTCATCTAGATGTTTCATGGCAAATATCAGACGAGCCTTTGTGTTCTCTTTGGTCAGCGGTGATTTGCGCCTTGCAGCTTTCCAGTGGATGCCGTTTTTGCCCAGTGTCTTTCTTATTGTGGAATAACGTACATTGACCTTAACTGAGGTGAGTGTGGCCTGTAGTTTAGACGTTAGTCTGGGTTCTTTTGTGACCTCCTGGATAAGTCGTTGATGTGCATGAACAGCATTTTTCCATCAATAAATGAAATCATTTAAATGATTTTGGGTGTGTGTGTGTATATATATGTATATATATTATAACAATAATAATAATAATGTTTTATATATATATATATATATATATATATATATATATATATATATATATATATATATATATATAAATATAAATTATTATTGTTATTTTTTTTTATATATATACATATGCACACACATACAGTTAATGTTTCAAGTCCTCCCTCCATAATAGTCCTCTCTCATTGCTACAGCTTGTGTATTGTTACAGTGGAGGCTCGTGAATGCTAATTAAATGGTAATCTGTCTAGGTAAACAGTAAACATATACGAACCCTTCATATTGGCAAGAGATTTCATTTTGATAATTCCCTTTAGAGATATTCCTTTACCTAGAAGGATACAGGTTGTCCTCATGTCTAGGGAATCTTCAAAACACTGACATGAATAAAAGCATATAACAGAAAGAGAGTAGTTAAGTTTTTAAATCAAATCATATTACATTTAATTTCATCAAAGGCTCCCATGTGCTCCATTGCTCTTCCATTACTCAGTGGTCAGTGGAGTTCCTGCAGTAATTCCTTAGATTAGTTGTGCTGCTGTGTCTGCTGCTCCTGATCACAGAACGGCTCTGTTAGGTCAGTTTTTAGACGTTTACTTTCAACCTTGGTGACTTCTATGCTGCTGCTGCTGTGTGTGGTTTTCGCCTCAGTTTTTCATGGTATGTTAGTCGGTGCAGGACGTCCTGGTGCGGCAGGTGTGTGGAGGTCAAGGGCATGTGCAGGGAAGGGGAGGGGAAACCTGCTGATCAGCTCATCTTAGTGCTTACTGTAATTCCACAAAGGCTCAGGGCCTAAATACTGTGCGTTCTGTCTCCAGGCAACAGGCCTGAAGGGCCGGACCTTGTAGGCAGTGTGAAATTTGTTACTAGTGCCCTCGTGTGTTAATTACCTGTCGCTGCTGGAGAAGGAAAACTGTATAAGTAGGAATTTTGATAATGGAAGTTTTGGGCATAGTTTCATCATCTAGTTTTTTAAGCAGACTGGAGATTAACAGGGTAGCCTTGTTTACTGTTTGGTAGTTAGAGAACTGTGTGTGTGTACATACGCTATATATATATGTATATATATATATATATATATATATATATATATATGTGTGTGTGTGTGTGTGTGTGTGTGTGTGTGTGTGTAGTATAATTTTATTTAATGATGTGCTCTTCCATATCATGGCCTAATTCATAGTAATTGACAACATTAATTTGTTTGCATTTGGTTGCTGTTCAGTCATAAGCATTTTATCAAGCCAGGAGAAGACTGATTTAAATGTCATTGTGATGGCTACTCAGTGAAGTTGGTGTAAAAATGAGCATTTTTAGCAATTATTATGATTTAAGAGTAATGCTGCATGGAACGCAGTATTAAGTATTGAAAGCAGTGTAACATATCAGTTCTGTCCAGTAACTGTAGGTTTTTTTTCCTCTTTATCCCGGTGGTGTGTGTGATGAAATTTATCAGAAAGCGGTGACCTTGTGTCTTTTCCCTGCAGGTGGAGTCCTTCATCCTAGACCAGGAGGACCTGGATAACCCTGTGCTAAAGACCGCGTCAGAGCTGCTTTTGTCCAGCGCGGCAGACGGAGCTGACCTCAGAACAGTAGATCCAGAAACACAGGCCCGGTTGGAGGCGTTACTAGAAGCAGCAGGTATGTCCCACTGAGAGCTCTCGCTCTGCCCACCTCCAGCCGCCTCTTTTTAGACGGCAGTGTTGACTGTTCTTACACCTCTGCATGCCATCACTCACCTGTTCTGTGGGCTGCTTTTCCAAACATATCAGCCTATTGTGTAAAAGCATCAGTTTTCTTTGGTTTCTTTAGTTTCTTTGGTTCGTGGTTAAAGACTCGAGAACCACAGTTCAATCTTAAAATACGTTAATTTGTCTTGTTTTTGCAAAAAATTTACTCTGTGTGAGTGGTTGCCCTTTTTGCCTAACAGAAGTTTGTGTTTGGCTCTGGTCTAATAGGTGTGCTTTGTTTACAGTGTACAAACGCAGTATGTGCAAGCAGTATGTGCAAACAGTATGTGTATGTACGTTGTTTCTTTTTCCTTTTAAACACACTCCAAAACGTAATCTATCTCTTTAGAGTTAGTGAAAGGACAGGGAGAGATATCTGTATAATGAGAGCTAGTAGCTCAGTATAACCATACACAAATCCTCAAAGCCTGTGTTTATTTTTTACATGCTTTGCATCCTGTTGTGTTACTGTTGCAGGTCTGATTTGAGGGTGTTTTTTGCCCTGTGTGTCTGTGGTGCAAAGGCTGTGGTGTAGATGTTAATGATCTGCAGCCTCCCACAGAAAGATTAGGGGTCATAGGAGTGTTGTACAGAACAGAAAAGTAGAGTTGTTTATGCAGGAGAAGTGACTTTTGTGTGTAATGCTTTATACTTTAGGTTCACCCAACCTGTGATGTGTGATTTTACATGTTGCTGACCTTTAGGTTCAGCTGTGCTGGGTTGGGTGTGGCTCAGTAGGTTAGACTGCCTCTCTGCACTGGTGAACTGGTACAGGCTAGCCCAGCCCCGTGAGCAGTTAGCTTGCAGGGGAAGCATAGGGGAGATTAGCAGGAACAATGGATTTCCATACAGCAGCACCAGCTCCCATCATGACTCAGCAGTGGCCTTTAGTAAACCACACTCTGTGCCTCTGAGTGTGTGTGTGTGTGTGTGTGTGTGTATATGTGTATGTGTACATGGTCCTGTATCTGTGTCTCCATCTGTGTCTGTGCAGAATTTGTCCATGTCTCTTTTAATATGGTTTTGTTAGATTTGCTGTATTATTGTCTATCTGTGAATGCTTTGCTTTGTCTTTGGATTTCTTTCTCTATGTGCCTATCCAGTTTGTTACTGTGGTGGCCAATTCATTGTCTACAGTCAGTGTTAATAAGTTACTTACAGTTTAGGCATGTTACACAGGTGTGTATTCTTTCCATTTGTGTTACCTGTAGCAGTTAATCTTGCTGTTTTGGGGTTTTTTTTCACTCCTTTTCTTGTATGCACATTCCCTGTCTAATTTAAAGTCCCAGTCCTGATGTTTTTTGGAAGCCATTAAATGGATTACTTGTTAGGGATGTCCCGATCCAGTATTTTGCTGCCTGATTGTTGTTGACCATTTTATTCTGTGCTTAATGTTGGCATATCCAGTTCCGTTGACCTCCCTGATGTTCTGGCTACCAGTAACTTTAAAATGCTGCAGGAAATAATTTCATTTTTGTTATGTGCGTGTTAGGCATGCTCTGAATAGATAGCTGGTGGGGTGGCTGGTAGCCTATGTGGTAGGAGAAGTGAGCCATCAACCAGAAGTTTGCGGGTTCAAATTCCATGACTGGCTAGGTGTACCTGGTTGTGCCCCTGGGCAAGGCACTTAACCCCCCACTGCCCCAGGCGGGTGCTGCTCTGCTGGCGACGCTGTGCTGCTCCCTGACTGGGCATAGTTAGGCAGCAAAATGACAAATTTCCCTTGTAGGACCAATAAAGTACATAACATAGCTTTTTATTTTTAAAAATAACCAATTAATTGGGCTGTCAAAACACTATGATTTGAAGCTGATGTCAGTTTAGCTATAGAAGACTTCCTATTTGGGTGTTTTAAAGGAAGGACTAACAGTAACAGTTCATATGCAAATCTTCCCATTCATGTTTTCCCCTCAGACAGTGTGGTATGTTGCTGTTGTACACTCAAGTTCTTATTGGATCTATTCATTAAAAAAACTGACAGAAACCTTTGATCCTTTTGTAATTTGAATTAAATCAAATGAACTGAAGTGCTGATGGGATGTCGATATGATACTGGAGTATGTGCTGTTGCCTATACATAAAGATGCATGAAGATGCTCTTGCTGTGCCTTGTGTAGTTGCAGCTCCCTTCCGGCTTCAGGTTGTATTTGTAATTATGTTGAACGATGACACCTTTTAAGAAGCTTGAGATGTAGCTTTAACAACTGGTAGGACAGTTGTTTCCATAACCCGGTCACATTCTGATGCACAGGTTTGGTAAGCTGCTGTTTCCTTTCTCATATTTATGTACAATAAAAACCTTAGTGTTTAGGGTGTAGTTTTGCAATAGGCTGGACTGTACAAAGTCGAGAACTCTGGTGTGAATTTAACTATACCACGCAGAAATTAAGACCATTTGTGAATTCTGAAGTCCACCTTAGGTAGCCACCAAAGTCAGTTATTTTGTGCAGTTTGCCATAATTCTTATGCACTCCACCATGCTGCATGGTTTGAACCTGCCTAATCACGGTGTGTGTCTTCTTGTGTGTTTGTGCGTGTGTGACTTGGGCCTGCACTAACTGCGGATGCCTTTGGCCTTGGATGCTGTGTATTGCTGGTGTGTGGCTGGACACTGCAGGCATTGGTAAACTCTCCACTGCCGATGGCAAAGCCTTCGCAGATCCCGAGGTGCTCCGCCGCCTGACGTCATCAGTGAGCTGTGCGCTAGACGAGGCCGCCGCCGCCCTCACCCGCATGAGGGCAGAAAACACACTCAACGCCAGCCAGGCAGACAAGTAGGCATCTTCTCTCACATGCCCACATCATAGTTAAGTGTACATACTTTCTGTAGTTGTTCTTCACCTAGTTTTTACAAACGCTTAAAGGGCCTATATTTTGTTTGTGTGTTTTTTATTTATTTATTTATTTTTTTGAACAGGCTGTTTTAGCTGGCTTTAAGACTGATATAGGAAAATGATCTCTTTTCTGATTGGATGTCCTTTATTGTGCCTGTTTTAAAAACACTCATTAACTTCAATGTGAATGGGCGGAGCTAAACTGCTGTAGGCTAAATAGGCAGATGTATGTTTTTGTGACCTTCAAAACAGGCTGTTTTCACAGCTTAGTTTCCATATTTTGACTGTAATAGACTGTGCATGGCACAGGGTTTTGAAACTTAAACATAGTTTACACAATACATCGACCTCTGTCATTTAAGAAAATCCCGTTTTCCATGATATGGGCCCTTTAATGAAGTATATCTTGTTTTGTATGTGCTGTTACAGTATACTTAGTGAGCTATACACTATGCATTAATTAACCCTGAAACTTAGCTGAGCTACTTATTCTGTATCATAATTCATAGAGGCATATGTGATTCCTGGAGGATCCAGTCAGTGTAGCTAGCTTAGCTTCGCCTGCACAGTCGCAGTAATTGTAGCAGTCTGGTTATTTTTAGCCGTAGTCTGGCTGAGGCCTGCTCCGATGGAGATGTGAACGCGGTGAGGAAGCTGCTGGACGAGGGCCGCAGCGTCAATGAGCACACAGAAGAGGGAGAGAGCTTGCTGTGTCTGGCCTGCTCCGCTGGATACTATGAACTCGCACAGGTAGGGTCCACACACTGCCTCCGTTATGCACACACACTGCTCTTTTGTGGTGCTGTTACCCTGCCGACATTCATATGCACTACTCCCTAGCATTACTAAACCTCTAGTTGTGTCTTTCCTGACATCAAAGTGGATAAGTACTTGGTCATACCCTATTTCTATTTGAATTAGATCTCAATTCTATATATTTGGATATGTTGATTGTATCCCTGTTAAGTTTTACTCCACATTTAAATTGTGTATTTTGTGTTTTTGTAGGTCTTGCTGGCCATGCATGCTAATGTAGAAGACAGAGGCATCAAAGGAGACATCACGCCGCTCATGGCTGCTGCCAGCGGGGGTTATGTAGACATCGTCAGACTGCTCCTGATGCATGGAGCGGACGTTAACGCACAGTCCTCTACAGGTGCAGTAGCAAGCTCTTTAAGATTAACCTATCCTGCTTCATTTGAAGGGAGTAATTTTTCTGTCAAAGATTGCATTATGCATTGTGGAGTTCACAGTGAAGCCTTGAGGTTTTATTAGGCTCATATCTCTCTTGCTCTTCTCCTACTTACTAGGTAACACTGCGCTCACATATGCATGTGCGGGAGGCTTCCTAGACGTGGTCAAAGTTCTCCTGAAGGAGGGAGCCAACATTGAGGATCATAATGAGAATGGCCACACACCTCTGATGGAGGCAGCTAGCGCGGGCCATGTGGAGGTAGCACGTGTCCTCCTGGAGTATGGCGCTGGGATCAACACACACTCCAATGAGTTTAAAGAAAGTGCACTCACGCTGGCCTGCTATAAAGGTGGGTGCCAGAATAGCCATTGTAGATTGAGTGCTATGTTCTTTACTGTACACATGCACACAATTGTAGACAAGCTGTGAAAAAGTATGAAGGCAGAGAATAAGAGTCTTCTGGCTTTGATACAGGGCACTTGGACATGGTGAGGTTTCTCTTGGAGGCAGGGGCTGACCAGGAGCACAAGACAGACGAGATGCACACAGCCCTTATGGAAGCCTGCATGGTGGGAATACTGTATTTTTTTTATTTATTTATTTTTTTTTCCCCATTCTTACTCAAACTAGTCTCACAGTGCTTGACATGACCTGGTAACGAGGACACACGTCTGGAGACAAGTTCTTGGCTCTAAAACTCACCTGCAAATTCCTCCAGTCTTTGCTTTTTAAATGTCCGTATATATAGTTGGTAACACGAGCAAATACCTTGCTAGACATCTGTGAATGTGTGACTGTAGCACACAATTTTGCACAGCGCATTTGCTCTGGCTGTGTCATTTCAACTTTGAGCGGAAGAGGTCATGAACAGCTACCGGTAACCCGCCATTAGCTTATTAGCTTTCATCAGTTGTCCAGTGATGTCTACCACCAAAGTTCGTTTGATAATGCTTTTCCCATGTAAGAGGCGATGTGTTCTCCACATGTCACTTGCATCTACATACATCTACTTACTTGGGAGCTCTTAAAGAATTGTTGACTGTCATTCAGTGTTGACAGTCACACCAGAGCTTGCCTGTCACCGCCCCTATTTTGTGCTCCGCTTTCTCTAAGGCCTTGGATTAATAGAGATTTCAAACCAAGTTCATTCATATCCCTTGTAAGTCCCCCCACATTTAAGTGAAATTCCTATATTGTTGTCCTCAGACATGTATTTTTGTTACAAGGTTACATCTGGCCCTGTGGGACTACGCTCAAACATGCATACATGTTTTTGCTCTGCACCACTTTTCCTTAAACTGTAGGTTTGGCATGCCATATTCATTTGTGTACTCAGATTGTAGTGGAAGAAAATTTCTCCTGATTTACTTGGTATTGTGTGCGTTCCACATCTAAATGCTGTGGAGAACCGTTTTTGCTGTTCTTTTCTTGGCAGTGCCACAAATATGTGTATGAGGGCACATATTAAAGGGCTATCATGTGCAGGACAGGGTTCATACAGTCCTCATACAATCCTGAAAAAGTCATGGAATATAGAAATTTGGTTCTCCATTTGGTTTTTATTATTTCCAGAAAATAATAAGTGCTGGAATTTCTTGGACTTTTCCCCCCATGCGGTGTCATCTCATCACATTTGAAGCACTGACGAGTCTAGATTGCAGAAAGCTCTGAGACCACTGTATTTGCACATGGACTAGCTTTACTAAAATGTTTAATATGAATCTCGGCTAGCAAAGGTGTAATGTTCAGGACGTGCGTGTTGTGGAAGATGTTTTGGCATTCGAACACTGGAAAACACAGATTAACAATCCAAATGAAAGAGGAAAAGCACACCGCTACTGTTCTCACTCAGAACCTGCATGTGTACCTTCCTCACTGTGAGTCAAGCTAGGATTATACTTGAAGCATTGTAGGTGGTGTGAGGATGAGCACGCCTGAAATGACGCAAGCGCGGCGGCCAAATTACCGTCACATATTGCAGCTACATTAAAAAAATATGGGCTAATTGCTGAGATACTCTTGTTGATTTGATTTTATACAGTCTTTGTTGTCCTCTGGGTACTCAGAGTGGTGAAATGATTCTTTTTACATCCTTCTCCTAACTACTGTAAAAGTTGTGTCAAAAGTCACTGACATTGCGGATTTCGATGGGACTAATCTATCTGTGTGTGTGTGTGTGTGTGTGTGTATATATATATATATATATATATATATATAATTATTATTATTATTAATATATAATAATAATATTTGTATTACTTTGACTTACTAGCTAATAATATTTAAATTTATATTTAGTTACTGTACAATTTTTCCTCTCAGTACAGCTGTCTATATTTTAAATTGGTGCTGGCTGGTTACTGATAAAATTCAATATTGTGGTATTTTCAAACATCACAGTATCATGCTGTCAGGTGGTATTAAACTTTAATAAAGTTAATGAACTTGTGCTTCCTGAGTTTCCTTTATTTTATGGATTTTAAGAAAAATACTTAAAATGTAATCAATCAAGGACTACATACCATAAGAAAAGTGCACAAAATTAAACGTCTATCAAATATCTTGCTAAAAGTATCACTAAAACAGGAAATAGTATGTCAGTATCATGTTCTGGTATAGATTATATATCACCCAGCTCACCCAGCACTATGCTAAATGTTTACCATGGAGATTTCATTTTACGTCATTGAAAAGTCATGGAATTCCACCATTTAAAAAGTGTACAAACCCTGATAGGATTGAGAATAGCTTCTAGCTACAAGAGCCAAGACCTTCATGCCATATCCCAATGAGAATCGGACATGTACCAAAAAAAATCTCAGATGAAAGTACTTGCCTCTCGGCCATTGAAGTGTAACTTGTGTGCTCTTTCTCTGTTCTGTGTAGGACGGTCATGTAGAGGTGGCACGGTTACTATTGGACAGCGGTGCGCAGGTGAACATGCCAGCAGATTCGTTTGAATCTCCACTAACACTGGCAGCTTGTGGAGGACATGTAGAGCTGGCAGCTTTGCTGATTGAGAGAGGGGCCAACCTGGAGGAGGTCAATGATGAGGGCTACACTCCTCTCATGGAGGCTGCACGCGAAGGCCATGAGGAGATGGTAGCTCTGCTTCTTGCACAAGGTAGAAAGATTGATCTTGACTCTCAGACCTTTGTAGAATCAGACTTATTTCTTTCTGTTGCTAATGTCAGATTATCTGCAGTCTAGATTGTCAGCATTATCTCTATGCTCTTTTATAACATGATGCGCAGGTGTATATTTAAATCCAAATTTTATTTAACAATAAAAATTGACGATTTTCCATATAACCAGTACTGAGCAAAAAAAGCAAACTTTTTGTTCAAACTTTAAGGCTGATGGAGAAACATCCATGATTCACTGAACGGTCTTTTCTTCAAAATGTAATATTAAGCCAACAAATTTTCATATTGGTCATAACTGTAACCATGAAAATTGAAGTCTGATTGAGGAAATAGACTTGCATATTAGCTAAAATTAGACTAAAGTATTTAGCACAAAATACTTTTATTATACTATTTTATTTATTATATGTTTTTGAATAGTAAATTTACAATAAAATTGCTTACATGAGCCAGAAAACATGCTTTAGGCATGCAAGTCCACTATGGATCTGCAGCTGATGTAAACTGAGGCCCATGAAAGAGTGCTAGTTTGAAGCACTAAAACATTACTGAAGTGTCAGTACAAATCTGATGTGAAATCTTGTGGGTAGTATAATTAGGATTGATGCCTACTAGCTTTCTGAATTTCTAATCTCAGAAAAGCCCTTTGCATTTGGTTTTGTGGAAATTGCAAAAGCAAAATTGCAGACTGCAATGACAAAAAAATGAAAAAAATAAAAGTTACAAGTGATTTGCTTCTTACACACATTGGTGTATGACTTGGTGGTTGTGTATATTGAATGAAGCAAATGTTCCGATGATTTATTTACTGGCTGCAATATACATACAATGCACATACTGTACGTGCATGTACAATATGTAGCACATTGTTTAAAATGTGTGGCCTATTAATTCCTCTGATTCTGCCTGCAAAATTTTTGTAGCCATTTAAAAGAAAAAAACAAAAACAAAAAACAACTTATTAATTTAGTCCTGGCTTAAACTTTTAGGCACGTTTTCTACGTAGTAGTTTTTCAACTGTCATTGTTCTAGTTTCATTTTAACATTTTCTCTATTTGTTCTCATAGATTTAGGCATGTTATTTTGAAGTAACTAAAGTTATCACTGGTGTGCTGTGCGTAGGCGCCAACATCAATGCTCAGACAGAGGAGACGCAGGAGACTGCCCTGACTCTGGCCTGCTGTGGTGGCTTCTTGGAGGTGGCGGATTTCCTCATCAAAGCTGGAGCGGACATTGAGCTTGGCTGCTCCACTCCTCTCATGGAGGCCGCACAGGAGGGGCATCTGGAGCTGGTCAAGTACCTGCTTGCTGCTGGTGAGACATCTTGGTCATATTTGTTTCACACATACACTCATCGAACACTTTATTAGGAACACTACCTTATATCTACAGTCTTTGTCCATTTAGCCCTTTCACCCTGTTTTTCAACGGTCAGGGTCCCCACAGGACCACCGCAGAGCAGGTATTATTTGGGTGGGTGGAATATTCTCAGCACTGTAGTGACACTGACGTAGTGGTGGCTTGTTAGTGTGTGCTGGTATGAGTGGATCAGTTACAGCAGTGCTGCTGGAGTTTTTAAACACCTCAGTGTCCAACAACCAAAAATATCCAGCAGACAGCATCCTGTGGCTGGAGGATGACCAACACAAACTGTGCAGATGAGCTGTCATCTCTGACTTTATATCTGCAAGGTGGACCAACAAAGTGTGAGTGTCTAATAGTGTGGACAAAAAACTGCAGTAGCAGTGCAGCGCCTAATCCACTCATACCAGCGCAACACACACTAATATGCCACCACCACATCAGTGTCACGGCAGTGCTGAAAATGATCCACTACCCAAATTATACCTGTTCAGTGGGGGTCCTGACCATTGAAGGATCATTGGTGAAAGAGGGCTGACTCTGTGTGTGTATGTGTGTGTGTATATATATATATATATATATATATATATATATATATATATATATATATATATATATATATATATATATATATATACACACACACGCAAACGATTACATTTTCAATGCGGAGTTGTTTTTGTCATTGAGCGTACATAAGGGTCGTGTGTTGCTCTCTACTCAGGAGCTAACGTCCATGCCACCACAGCCACGGGGGACACAGCCTTGACGTATGCCTGTGAAAACGGACATACAGATGTGGCTGATGTGCTGCTTCAGACAGGGGCTGACCTGGTTTGAGCCTTTTGTGCTGGTTTTGTATTGTCAGAGCTATTTTTGACTTTCTGTAACTCTTTTTGCTTTCAAGGAACATGAGTCAGAAGGTGGAAGGACGCCACTGATGAAAGCAGCCAGAGCAGGACACCTCTGCACTGTACAGTTCTTAATCAGTAAAGGTTAGTGTCTGATGAGATCCATAAATTTACTGTTTGTCAACTGTAACAATATACCTCATTAAATTTTCATACATAAACACTTACTGCGCAGTAACTTTTAGTAAGAATTAAATACATGCAAGTGTTCTAAGCATTGTATTTTCCTCCTCTGTTACACAATAAATGTAGCCCTTCAGTATAGACCCTTACACCATTGGCATTGAAAACGCATGACTCTACTCGATCTATCAAATAGGTGACATGGTGTCAGATTTACAAAATCATGGGGCAAAAATGGACTGCTGTGTGTGTGTGTGTGTGTTTGTATATAATTATTGTAACACCACTTATGTGCACGTCTATGCACGTACACTTAATTTGCTGTTTATCTTCCTCTAATTAGCCATTTTCTTGTCTTATACAGGTGCTAATGTGAACAGAGCTACGGCCAACAACGATCACACTGTGGTGTCTCTGGCCTGTGCCGGAGGCCACCTGGCCGTGGTGGAGCTGCTGCTGGCTCATGGTGCAGACCCCACTCACAGACTGAAGGTGGGTAATTGTGTTAACCGATGCAGATAGATTGTGGTACTTGGATGAAGACTTTTTCTGAGCTAAAATACTCAACTGGAGAAATTCTCTTCACATAACTTCATAGTTTGTGTCTATGGACTCCTGGGCAGTAGAAATTCATTTAATGATCTTTGTCTTCAGGCTACACTATACTGTACTTGATTAATGTTCTTTCTTTGTGAGCTTTGCTCTGTGTTTGTTAGCAAGTTTCTTTACCAGGCTGTCCACCTGTCTCAGGTGCTGATTTGTCTTTGATCTCTTACAACCAGGATGGCTCCACAATGCTGATTGAAGCTGCTAAGGGTGGTCACACGAACGTAGTGTCTTACCTGCTAGACTACCCAAACAACATTTTGTCGGTCCCTGCACCAGACCTGTCCCAGCTCACGCCCCCCTCCCACGACACATCGCAGGTAAAGAGCAGCATTCTCATTATGCCATAAAATTACTAGCAGACACAAGCGTTACACACACTCCATTTCACTTACCTGTCAAATCCTGAAAATGTATTTTTCATATCCACAGGCTCCTAGAGTCCCATTCCAAGCCCTAGCCATGGTCGTACCCCCTCAGGAGCCAGACAGAGTGCCCTCCACTATTGCCACGCCACCGCCGGTCACAAACAAAGGTTATTTATCTTTGTTCTTCAGCCAAAATATTAAGCTGTGGAAACAAACTTGGAGGTTTTTGACACTACACATCAAATGTCATATTCCTGTTATGTGCTGTGCAAGCTTAATGATGAAATTCTCACCTCATTATATTTTCTGCTGATCAGGTATGTCCAAGCAGAGGCTGAGCTCTCTGCAGGGCAACACGGTGGCTACAGGGGGGCTGGATGCTGACCTGCTGCCACCCTTTCACCCTTACCAGCCGCTGGAGTGCATTGTGGAGGAGACAGAAGGAAAGCTGAACGAGCTTGGCCAGCGCATCAGCGCAATCGAGAAAGCCCAGCTGCAGTCACTAGAGCTGATCCAGGGCGAGCCGCTCACCAAAGACAAGATTGAGGAGCTGAAGAAGAGCCGCGAGGAGCAGGTACAGAAGAAGAAAAAGATCTTGAAGGAGTTGCAGAAGGTGGAGCGGCAGCTGCAGCTCAAGACGCAGCAGCAGTTCACCAAAGAGTACATGGAGGCTAAGGGGATCAAGGAGGAGCCGGGCCAGGCGGCAGGGGTGGAGGCGCCCGGCACCCCCCTGCCACTCCAGGCCACGCAGCTGGGCTCCAGCACTGACGGCGAGGGTAACCACGATGAGGAGGACCACCAACCTGCCCCCGCGGATGACGAAGAGGAGGACGATGATGAAGATGATGAGGATGAGGATGAAGAAGATAGAGACTACACAGAGTTGCCACAGGTGGACACCATTCTGTATCGAGAGTCAGCACAGCTACCGCCTCCGCCACCTCCTCAGCCACATGGCTTGCAGGGCCCCACGCCTCCCCCTTTGCAGACCAGCTTCGTTCCCATTCAGCCCCTGGCAGCACAGCAGTCCACAGACTTCGGCAGTGCCGAGTACCCAGGCAGCAGCAGCCCGGATCTGCAGAGGGTCATGTTGGGCCAGCCGCTGTCAGGCCTGGGGCCCGGTCTCCTTGCACAGGCGCCTGATGGCCTCATGGTGGCCACTCCCGCACAGACGCTTACAGACACGCTGGATGACATCATGGCAGGTGAGCTGACAGTTGTTGAGCCTTTGAGCTTCTTGGATTTGAACAGTCATCGGAAATGGCAGGCTCACTGTAATTTAATGGTATTCTAAAAAAAAAAAAAGACTTGTTTTGACTGATGGTTTTGTTTTTCTTTTGATAATGTCTTGACATTCATGACAATCTTTTCTCTTGTCTGCAGCAGTGAGCAGCAGAGTGCCTATGTTAAACACTACGACCTCACCTATACCTCAGCCCACAACACAGACGCCCATCAACACTGTCACTCCACCCTCCATGCTCCCGCTCTACCCGTCCGTAGACATCGATGCACACGTAAGCTCTGAGCTCACCTAATCAAACAGCACATGCTCTGCTGCTAAAAAGATGTGCACTGAAAAGATATCGGTGCTGGATGCTTCAAAGTTTGGAGAATAAATAATTTCCAAGGTTATAATCTTTGACAGATTTACACTACACATCCAGAACTTTATAGACACTCCTCATACAGCCTTTCGTCTGAAATCAAGGGTATTATTAGGGATAGCTGCAGTAACAGCTATACAGCTATCACTGTTCTATGAAGCCTCTTCAGTAGACGTTGGAACATTGCTGTGAGGATTTTACATTCAGCCACAAGACCATTAGTGAGGTCAGGCAGTGACAGTGGATGATTAGTTCTGCATTAGCAGTGCCCCAGCAGCCCAACATTTCAGTCAGTGACTCAAGCTTTATACCTCTCTAGTTGATGCTTGGCATTGGGCATGGTGACCGCAGACACGTGCATTTTCTCGAGAGTGTTCCATTCTATGGCAAAGCCTTTTTTTTTATTTATTTATTTTTTTAATGCCAGTTATACCAGCAATGTGTACACTGTTTCAGTGCATGTGTCAACAGTTGGTGCACCTTTAAGTAGCTGAATTCACTAATTTGCAAGGGGTGTCTAGACACTTTTGGACATGAGAAAATGTAAAATGAGACTAGGCATAGAACTGCATTGTACTCATGGCATTATTTTTATTGTTACTTCTCACCCCTCAGACGGAGAGCAATCATGACACTGCTCTGACTCTGGCATGCGCAGGCGGCCATGAGGAGCTGGTGTCAGTGCTCATTGCGCGCGGGGCCAACATCGAGCACCGGGACAAGAAAGGTAAGTCAACATTCCGACCATTCCGACCATAAGGAGCCAAAGCAAAATCTGAAAATTTCTTTGTTTTCTGTCCACAGGATTCACTCCTCTGATCCTGGCTGCTACTGCGGGTCATGTTGGCGTTGTTGAGATCCTCCTGGACAAAGGAGGAGACATCGAGGCTCAGTCCGAGAGGACCAAAGACACACCTCTCTCCCTGGCCTGCTCGGGTGGCAGGCAAGAGGTGCGTTTATAAAGCTGCTCATAGCATCCATAATTTCTCTGTTTTCTTGCATACGAGACAACATAAAATAACTGTAGGGGAGCTTGCTATATTATAGCTGTGGCTACTTCCTTTGGTTACTCAGGATGGTTCTTTAGACAGTATATTTAACCTCTGGCTCCTTCTCCACAGGTGGTGGAACTATTGCTGCTCCGTGGCGCTAACAAGGAGCACCGTAACGTGTCTGACTATACCCCACTTAGCCTAGCCGCCTCAGGAGGCTACGTCAATATAATCAAGATCCTCCTCAACGCTGGAGCTGAGATTAACTCTAGGTCAAATAATTTATCCATTTATACTCACCCATTTTCCCCTGAAGTATCTTTTGAGGTGTGATCTTCTGTCACTTTAGAAATGGCTTTTCTCATGTCTTTTCACTAATATCTCTGCTTGTCTTTTTGACCATTCTAGGACGGGCAGCAAGCTGGGAATCTCTCCTCTAATGCTGGCGGCCATGAACGGCCATGTACCTGCAGTGAAGTTGCTGCTGGACATGGGCTCTGACATCAATGCTCAGATTGAGACCAATCGCAACACAGCGCTAACGCTGGCCTGCTTCCAGGGCAGGGCCGAAGTGGTCAGCTTGCTGTTGGACCGCAAGGCTAATGTAGAGCACCGTGCCAAGGTCAGTTACCTTCAAAGAGCTTGTTTTTCATTCAGATCACACCTTTTTTCTCATCGGACTTAGGTACTGAAAATCAGATATTTGTCAGTAACAGAAAATCAGATATTTGTCAGTAATCTGTTCAATGCGTTACATGCACTTGGTTAATAAGATACTGGAAAACTCTGGGTCTACATTAGTTAGGTTAAATTTTTAGCTTTGCAACCAGCCAATAAACTCACAAAATAAGATGTGGCGTCAATGTAATGCTGTTTTCAAATATGGGGTAATTTTAGCAGAAAATTTATAAATACATCATCTAGAAAATTAACAATATTCAAAGTGTTTCGTCGTTTCATCATTTCATCAAGCATGTAGTTGGTTCCAGCATCTCTTCAAAAGTGTTCCGTTGCCATATCGTGGGTACTATGTAAAACGCTATTTCCAGGGCAGTGGTCTGTTTTCACACATGCACAACTGAGAAAAATGAAAGAAATCAGAGAAAAGGTGTACATGGACTCAAAAACCTGATTGCTGAGCTAAAATCTAGCTCTCTTTATCCGATTTCCAGGCCTTAATCTTATCTAGGAAATCGGAGTATGTTGTTTTACATGACCACTTGAATAGTCAGATGACTGCAGAAATCCGATTATTAAGTGCATGTAAACATTACTCAATGTTCTTATTATGAATAAGCCTGTTTAGGAAAGCAGGGATGTTTCATTATGTTCATTTGTGAGTTCACCTTGTGTCAAACACTAATTCTGTAAAACTATGAAATTACATCCCTAGTGCGTTTGTGTTTTGCTTTGCTCTCTGGAGTAATTCTGATCCTTTGTCTCAGACGGGGCTCACCCCTCTTATGGAAGCTGCGTCCGGTGGCTATGCTGAGGTGGGCCGCGTGCTGCTGGATAAAGGTGCAGATGTCAATGCCCCTCCTGTCCCCTCATCCCGTGACACTGCCTTGACCATCGCTGCAGACAAGGGCCACTACAAGTTTTGTGAGCTCCTCATTAATAGGTAAGTAGTAGCACTTATAACAATATGCTGTCTCTAAAACTACATGCTTGGATAGTCAGAACTGTGTGATGAGCATTGCAGAGATCACGTCGCTCTTTCCTGTCTTCCAATAGAGGGGCTCACATCGACGTACGTAATAAGAAGGGGAACACTCCTCTGTGGCTGGCTGCAAATGGGGGCCATTTTGATGTAGTGCAGCTTCTAGTGCAAGCCGGAGCTGATGTGGATGCAGCGGACAACCGTAAGATAACGCCTCTCATGGCAGCATTCCGTAAGGTGAGCACATTGGATGTTTGACCCCGGTCTTAGAATTATGATCAGTTGTGAAAATTAATGCTTTTTTTCCCCCACTGTAAATATAAAATAATATTTGAGTAGTACGTCACAGTGGAAGTGGAGGTTTACTGCGCTCTAAGACTGAGGCTTAGCCCCTTGTTAATTTTTTTATTCTTTCATTTTTAGGGACATGTGAAAGTGGTCCAGTACTTGGTGAAGGAGGTTAATCAGTTCCCCTCTGATATTGAGTGCATGAGATACATTGCCACCATCACAGACAAGGTGTGGACTGAAGCGTTATTTTGGACTTAATGGGTTCAGTTTATAGCTTGTGGGTTGTGTTTGGTATAAACATTCAACTGATCTGTGTTTTGCTCCCAGGAGGTGCTGAAGAAGTGTCATCAGTGCATGGAGACCATTGTCAAAGCCAAAGACCAGCAGGCTGCTGAGGCTAACAAGAATGCCAGCATTCTGCTCAAGGAACTTGATCTTGAAAAGGTTTGTTGTAGCTTCAGACACTCTGCTTAGACGTAATGTTCCAACAATGAGGGTGTATAGCCACATCATACCCACTAAAGCAGGGGTGCAAAACATATGCAGTAATGAGTCAAAGACAGGTCTCGTGGTAAACATAGTAACTTTTATCGTTGCCCAGATTCAGTTACTAATTTGGTCCTTTTTGCCATTCTTGGTGCAGTTTTAGTCCCTCATAAAGGACAAATTCAAGCTAGCAGCTTTGTGCGATGAGGAAGGTCTTTGTTCAAGTAACGCCAGGTGGATTCTGAATGCCGAGTGTTCCAGGAGAAAGGGACAACAGCGTATTTCTTCTAGAAAATAAACTACAAACTCATTTGAAGAAATTATTCCCAGCAACCTCACCCAAAGAATTTAACATTTAAAGGCACTATGAAACCAAATCATGGTAAATGTGTGACCAGATTACTATGGACAGATATATAAACAAACTAACTGCAGCTCTCAGAAAGTATGATTCATGCAGCTGTGAAGCCTAGTTTTATAATTGCTCAATAAATTACTGTGGCTTATTCTGAAGCTGAGTTCGTTAAAATGTGCACGTTAATGGCAGCTGCACTGGTGTGCCCTGACAAACAACAGGCTTTTTACCAATACAAGTTTGTCAAGACAAACTGTAGTGGACAGTGTCACAGACTTAGACAGGCAGTTGAAGGAGGGAGTAAAATCATTTGTTTTTCAATTGCAGTAGACGAGAGCTCAGACAATATAGTGGCTCATCTTGCAGTTTTCATGAGAGGTTTTTATAGATGCTTTTTGACTGTCACTTCAGAGTTTGTTGAACAGATAATTAGTAAATGTCAACAGGATGCTTTAACAGTTTATCTGCACAATGTTTATTGTTCTAAAGTTATAGTGCTACAAAGTAATAACAAACTTGTTTTCTGCAGTCATACAATACAAAAAGGCCGGTCATTAATTGTCACTTCAGTAAACATTATACAATGAATTAAAATGGATCATATTAATGGCAAGTGCTTGGATATATTGATGCGGCCCCTTTGACCAGTGTGGCCCTCAACTCCAAGTGTCACCCCTGCACTAAAGCATACATTTACTTGTCATAGCAGCCTTTCCACCAGTTCATGCTTGGAGCACTTTGGTTTATGGAAGGTGAAATTAGGTTGTATTGGGTAAAACTGATTGTTTATTTTATTCCCTTGTTTGACGACAGTCCCGTGAAGAAAGTAAAAAACAAGCTCTGGCGGCAAAGAGAGAGAAGCGCAAAGAGAAGCGCAAGAAAAAGAAGGAGGAGCAGAAGAAGAAGCTAGAAGAAGAGGCAAAAGTGAAGGATGTGTTTTCTGAGACACAGGACCAGAAAGAGGACTCTGCTGAAGGTATGTAGATTATTTTGCTTTTTCTAAATTCTTCTGTATTTCTTCTATTACTTTCGCTAATATTTTCTTATTTATAGTGTACTCTTAAGTACCACTGCTTATTACTCCTTTTATGTCTGCTTTGGCAGAGGTGGACGTCCCCATTGAGCCCCCTAGCGCCACTACTACCACCACCATTGGCATCTCTGCAACCTCCACCACCTTCACCAATGCCTTTGGCAAGAAGCGCGCCAATGTGGCCACCACACCTAGTACCAACCGCAAGAATAAAAAGAACAAGACCAGGGACTCACCCAGTGAGCCCATCATCCTACAGGATCCTCAGGTGGCATTGGCTCAGCAGAAGGCCGACAAAAACAAGATCCATGGGGAACCTCGAGGCGGTGGGGCACCGGGGGGCACCAGTGACTCGGACAACCTGGACAGCACTGATTGCAACAGTGAGAGCAGCAATGGCAGTAAAAGCCAGGAGCTGGCTGACCTGCCCTCCTCATCGTCCTCCTCATCGTCCTCCTCGGCACCTACAAGTTCCAGCCAACCTCAACCTTTGACTGAAAAGAGGCAGGGTCTATCGCTGTCCACCTCTCGGGAGGAGAAAGTCACCGTGTCCATCTCTAAACCACAACAGAAGTAAGAGCTATTTCACCATTGCACAGTAGATCCTCTACTGATAGTTGCACAGTTGGGGTCAAAATGGATTCTTACAAGAGAAGTCATATCACGGTAGCAGCAAGCCTAGAACATTTCAAAGGGCAAACAATGTTAAACATTAGTTTATTTTTAGTGATTAAAATTACAGTATCACCAGTTTTCCCCCTCAAAGTATGGCTACTGTTGAAGGTGCTTTTTTGGCAAGTGCATTACAGTATGCATTTATTACTTTTCAATAGTGTGTTTGATTACTTCTGTCTAATCGTGTAATTTTTTTTTTCCCTTACAGAGCTCATGAGGTCATTAGTGACCTGCCTTCCAATTCCCTGCCCTCTTCACTCAAGACCATTTCACTGCCAGTCACCTCACCCAACAGCAAAATGAACCTCACCAGCCCCAAGAGGGGCCAGAAGAGAGAGGAGGGATGGAAAGAGGTTGTCCGGAGGTAAGTGGCATAAAAGAAGGGAAGTAATGAAAAATGTGAGTTGTTCTTTCCCTCCTTCTCTATTACATTAAGGCGATTAGAAAAATTGCTTAGAATTTATTTATTAATTTTTTTAGGTCAAAGAAGCTCTCAGTCCCAGCCTCTGTGGTGTCTCGGATCATGGGCCGAGGTGGCTGCAATATTACAGCCATTCAGGACGTGACAGGTGCACACATAGATGTTGACAAACAGAAGGACAAGAATGGCGAGAGAATGATCACTATCAGGTGCAAATTGTTTTTACTTTATTTATTTTGTAGTTTGATCATATATGTTTGACGTTAGTTTGACGTTAGTGTGTGCTTAGGTCTTCTACATACTGTCCCTTACACACTTTGTTCACTGTTTTTCAGAGGTGGCACGGAATCCACACGGCACGCTGTTCAGTTGATCAATGCGCTAATTCAGGACCCTGCCAAAGAGCTGGAAGACCTGATTCCTCGGAACCACATTCGTCAGCCTGGCACCAACACCAAAATTGGCTCCACCTACACCACTTCCACAGGAGCCACCAGCACCACTGCAGCCACTTCAAAAGGCTTGCCGTCAGTTGTGCCCTCCTCCAGCGTGTCCTTCCAGTCCTCCTCCAACTCTACTGCTCAGCAGGCTGGCAAAATGGGCAAAAACATGGCACCTGGTGTCAGACCTCCTTTCGTCTCTTTGCCTCCACTGGCCTACACGCACCCCCAGCTGGCCCTGTTGGCAGCTCAGACCATGCACCAGATCCGTCACCCCCGTCTGCCCATGGCACAGTTCGGCGGCACCTTCTCGCCCTCACCCAACACTTGGGGCCCATTCCCTGTACGTCCTGTAAGCCCTGGCAGTGCTAACAGCTCACCCAAACACACTGGCAGTGCTGCCCCACGACCTTCTAACTCTGCCCCTGCTACCACCGAGCACGCTACTCCAGCGTCTACTGCTACTGTCGCCCCTGGCTCCACTGCCTCACCCACCAACACTGCACCCTCCAACACACCCACACCCACCTCAGTCAGGAAACAGCTTTTCTCTGCTGACCCCAAGTCTGGTGTTGCACCTGCCGTTGCCACCACAGCTAGTAGTTCTTCTACTGCACAGGCCCCACCTGTTCCCATCAGCTGTGCTCCCACCACTTCCACGACCCCTCCACCTCCGCCTGCCCCAATTGCCCCACCTTCACAGCATCCCCCAGCCCCCAAGCCAGAGCCTGCTGCTGCTGGCACGCCCGCTAAAGAGAAGCCGGCAGACCTGGCAGTTCCTGTTTCTGGTGCTGCTTGTGAGGGCCCCAGCCCCTTGGCTCCCTTGCACTTCCCTGCATCTCCATCGGCACAGCCTTCGCTGCCCATGCAGCCAGATAGTAGACCGCAGCTGCCCCTGCCCTTCACCTCCAGCACAGAGCCTAGCTCCTCCTCCACAGCCCAGCCCAGCACCACTCTACCGGTCTCTCGTTCGGCGCCACCAACCTGCAGCAGCACCCTCACCAACACCAGCAGCACCTTACCTCACTACACCACGCCAGCTGCACCTGGGGTGTCACCCCGAATGCCGCCTCCAGCTCCCTACTACGCCATGGCACCTGGAGCCCCTTTGCCGGAGCAGTCTGTGTTTGTGCCTCCAGGCACAACACAGGAACCTCTCAAGCAGCAGCAACAGCAGCAGCAGCCTCCTCAACCCAGTCTGGCTGCTGCCAGCATGCCACCCCCCTCCCTGCAGATGTCCTCAACGATGGGCATGATGAATGGCTCCCAGTTGCCTCTCCACGGTGGGAAAGCTCAGCTGCCTCCAAATTTTGGCCCTGCAGCTCTTTTCAATCACTTCAGCAGCATCTTTGACAGCAACCAGGTGGGCAACAACCAGGTGTGGGGGGCATGTCATCTTCCCACACGCACTCCACAGGAACAGCCCTACAGTGCACCACCTGCCTACATGGGAGGGATGGGACAGATGGAGAGCAACATGCCCCCTCCTGATGGCTCAAAGGCACCAGGGTATCGCTGCCCCTCCCAAAGAATAGTGTCTAGCCCCATCGGTAAGTGTCTAAGACCTAAAAATGAATTTAAAGCCGTAATATCTAGACAATCTGGCTAGCATCATTATGATTTATTTAAACTTACTTCTTTCAACATTGCCAAGCAGTTGTAATGTCTATGTAACTTGGAGTCTCTTGGTTTATTAGGAATGCACCCAATGGATCCCATAGGCAATTCCATCTCTTCTTCTACCGCGCTCACCAGCTTTGCCACAAGCATGTCAGCCAGCCCTGTGTTCCTGCAGGGTCCGGCTCCTGTCGGAACGCCCTCTTTCAGCCGTCAGCACTTCTCCCCTCATCCTTGGAGCGCCTCTACATCTTGTACGAGAATAAGTAAATAACCGCCATTCTACATTTTCATTCCAAATATGACATGCAACCATTTTTTTTTTTTTGGACAGGCGCATGCAACCAATGTTTGTCTTATTTAGGTGAGTCTCCGGTGCCGTCTGTGTCATCTGGAGCATCCTCCCCTCTGTGCACATCCACCGTGACCCCTGCCCTGATCCAGGCCAAGCCCAGCAGCTCCAGCCAGCAGGATCGTAAAGTGCCCCCGCCCATTGGCACTGAGCGCCTGGCTCGCATCCGGCAGACAGGCTCCGTCAACCACACCATGCTGCCCACCAGTTACACGCCGCCGGTCGGGCAGGGTGGCATCTGGTCTTTCGGAGTGGGCAGTGCCTCTGGTGAGTGACATGAGAGGAAATGGGAGGAAAAATATAAATTAGTCCACAACTGTGTATTTAGCGGAGCTTTGACCAAGTCTGTTGTGCATATTTTCATATACCTGTACCTGCATAGTGGCTTGTATTTGGGGTAAAAGAACGTGTTCGACTGTTCTCTCCACAGAGGCGATGTCAGGCTGGTCTCAACCCCTGATGGGAGGGCCTATGATGCACCAGCAGCTGCAAGAGCAGTCAGCCTTCTCCCAGCATCAGGCTATGGAGCGAGATGACACCGGAATTGTAGCTCCTTCTAACACCTTCCACCAGCCCATGCCCACTAACTTCATGGATTTCCCTAAGGTTTGAGTGCTACATCAGGAATAGCTGTAAAGTTCCCAGTCTGGTAGTGTTCTATAGCTACAAATATTTCTTTGAACATATATTTGTTATTATTAACCAGGTAGAGAGGTTTTAATAACTGCAGTTTTTCAAATAAAAACTGTATTCTTGTAATTTGTCACTTTTGCTTATCAGAGTTCAGTAATTCAGAATTTTTTGTGGTCTCTGTTCATTTTGTTTAGGGGTTACCGATGTCAATGTATGGTGGCACAATGATCCCTCCTCACCCTCAGATGGCTGAGGGTCCTGGAGGCCCCATGTACAACGGACTCCACACCACTGACCCTGCCTGGAACCCCATCCTGAAAGTCGTCCCCAGCTCGGCTGAGAATTCAGACCCACAGCAGGTAACTGTTCTGAGCATCCTTGCTCTCTGTTGTGGCCAATGAAAACAGGAGCAAGTGTGTTCTTTCTCTGTCTGTTATGCTTTTTTCGCATTGAACAATCTGTCTATATGTACTGACATCAAGAAAGCTAATTCTAGACCTGTTGTTCTTCTCTGAGGTGTCTTGAAATTACAGTTCTTTGTATAGATGTTGCCTCTTCTGACTGTTGAAACCTTGTCGTTTCAGGTCTGGCCTGGGACTTGGGCCCCGCACGTGGGAAATGTGCATCTGAATCATGTCAACTAAACACACACCTAGAGACTGAGAGGCATAGGAGCAGTAACAAGAAATACACGTTAAAGAACAAGATAATTACATAATTACCAAAATGTTAACCTAGGAGTGTCCCCTTAAAAAAAAAAGTATAAAAAAAGTTATGAAATTCGAGAGACGGACACCTTTGATGTGCCTAACTAAAAAGAAAGAATCCAGTGTGGGCTTTAACGTGTTTACCACTGTCTATGAACAAATCGATTGCCTGTGCAACAGGATACATTCTCTGAGTAGTATAGCCATTTTGACATTTAAGCCCCACATAAAGTGTTCTTGGTCTGCAGGGCTCAATAGGACAGTGCGCTATTTATACTCGGCCAAGAACTAGATGATTACATAAAGAGAGAAATCAGACCTTTTAGAGTGGTAAATACATGTATAATTGTTTACATACTGAAAAAGGGTTAAAATGAGAGTAAATTTCATGTCGTATAGTGGCTCTACTTTATGTAGCCTGTATTAATGTGAAATATTTACCTTAATATTCAATAAAAAGTTGGAAATGTATCCAAATGGTGTCATGCCCTTTTAAATGAAACTGGGGTCTCTCTGTTGTGGTGGGAATGGTCATGTGAGAGATTGTAGCCTTCATCTTTATCAGAAGTGACTGTTTAAACAAGCTGTAGATATGCTACCTGCACATTAATTTCACATGAGATCATTGTTACTTTGCAGACAGGGGGTGCAATTTCACACGTTTACTCTAAAGTGCAGTATACATGGTGTAATATTTTGTAAAAGTTAAAAACACTGGATGTGTGTGATTTGTGAGAAACAGAGGTATCACTGTAAGCATCAGTTCATGAACAGAGTATTTGGGGGCATTTGTTTTTTTTAGAAAGGCTAACAATTTTACTTAAGTCTACACTGACATCATCCAATACCCCATCACAAATGCATCTTAGTCTTTTATGTGGTCCACTTACAGGTGCTGAGTGGGAGAGAGAAGAATATAGAGTTTCTTAATTAAAGTCAGCTAGCTCAGTGTTCATTAATGGGGGTGGGAGGTGAAACATGATCTTATTAGTTAATGTAGGATACAATTTTAGATAATATGACCAGGGAACTTACATGAACTAAAGATGTAAAACAGTCCATTGTTATTGTAAGTCGACTATATTCAAATACTGTTACTTCAGAAACAACACGGTTGTAAAGCAGCTGAAGTGGCTCACGTGACCTTAGGCTATACTCATATTACAAGGCTCATTTCTCAATTTTTTGCATAGATCTGGGCCCTCAAATTTGTTCACATTTGCATGGGTAAGTCATTCGTATGTGTCATTACAGTGAACAAACCTGTGCCCTGAACATGTGCACATCACAACTGTCACGTGAATGAACCACAAGCTTCATGAACAACAAACCGTCACCACAAAGATAACTGCTCTGCTATCAGTACAGTAATACACATCTTAGTAATATAAAAAATAAAAAACATCACAGTAATATAAAAAAGTAGAATAACTTGAGAAGGATTATGGATTGTAGCAATGTTTTTAAATGTGTACAGGTGATGTATAATAATTTAAAGGCATTCAACTCTGGTTCATAGAATAATTAAAACATAATTGGGAAGGCCATTACACCAGACTGTTAAGCATGGAAAATAGAATGTGTGGAACAGGTATTACTTGCTGGAGGTACAGTTTAATGGTTCTTGGCCTGTTTGAAAATTCCTTAATGTTATATCACGGGGTAATGTGTTTCTCCAACTACATTTTTAGGTCCTGGCCATGAATATTTGGATGTGTTATTTTTTTTTAGCAGGAAAGAACAGTTTAGCAGTGATAACACTTTAATGTGTGAAATGGTTGCTAAATGCACTGAGCTAATTTGAAGTCAATTTGGGTCAAAATATCACAGTCATGTCCCTCGTGTGTGAGTTCAGTCTTCAAATGTGTACAAAAAAGTTACTGAATTACAAAATTACGTCTTTTCAATTGTAACTGCACTGTATGAAACCAACTATTTTGTAGTTAAACCTACTTTCGATTAAAACATGAGTTACTCAGAGAGTACATAGACAAAAGTGTGGGAATCTTGGTGTCTCTAGATTTAGACAAAAACAGATTTTCTGTTTAGAACCATGAGTTACAGAACCATTTCATGCTTAAATGGTTCTACAGATTGATGGTTTGTTGTATGTGGAAATCGTAATAATAGAAGAACCCTTTTGGTGCTATACAGAACCATTTAAAAAAAACTCGTGATTCTGAATAGAACTGTTGCTATTACCTTGAAGAGCCATCTTTTTTACAGTGGGATGCCACCACGTGCAACAGGCATGCATAACAAACGAGGAAAAACAGGAGCAAAATCAGCGTTCAGTTCCATCAGAATGAAACTTCACGTACACAGAAGTTTGACTCGTTCCGGTTTAGTCACGGTGACAAAAACAGTTCACTTCATTAATCCTCCTCCTTTTTTCTTTTATCAGAGGTGAGTGTGTGTTTACACTGGGCTCAAACACTTTCACTGCTGTTACGTCAGCGCCCCGTTAAGCCCCGCCCCCTCCGAGGCTCTAAAACCGCGCGACTCGTTTGTCTGTGGGCTGCAGTCAGCAGAGCTCACAGAGAAGGGTGGAGAGCTGAGAGCCTTAAAAAGTAACGTAACCAACAATTAGCTCGAGAACTGAAGGCTCGAAGAACCTGTCGGCGTTCTTGATCTCACTTTCAAGCGACTACTTACCTGAACTTGAGGAGCTGAAACCATGTCGACTGTATGTGAAGCGTCCTCGGGCTGCCCCATTCCGAGCCGAGCGGTAGACGCTAAAAGCTGGTCTCCTCTGGCCGACTCTTACAGCCAGACCCCCGGAGGAACTCTCTTCTCCACCACTCCTGGAGGTGAGTCACCCTTTTTTATGCTCTGTATCTTCACAATCGCAATATTGACACTTTTATTTGATTACATCCTACCTCAGTGATTCTCAGTCCAGGTCCTGGAGGCAGGTTGTCTCCGCTCTAACGCCCACTTTAACTGAGGAAGGGCTTGTTAATTAGCTGATTAGTTAGATCAGGTGAGTTCACCGTGTGGAAAAATCCCAAGCTATGCCCAAAAGGTGGAATACTCCCACATCAGGTTTAGGGACCGGAATTTGTTCATCCAGTATAAACCTTTGTAATCCCAACTTTATTTTCTAATTACTGTTCCACATATTTCCAGATAAACTGCTAACTAAACTGACCAAGCTTCTTTAGAAATGCTGATCTAGAGCCTATCCACATTATAATGGTCAAGAGGATATTAACTGTTACAATTTTTGACACTTGCTAAATGTGACCTCAGCGTGGTTGGTGAATATAATAATTGCCTAGTTCAAGCTAAATCAAATGAAATGGCCCTCATTTTCTAAGAACCTTCCGAAGCCGGTATGTTGACTTCTGGAGTGTATACGAAGGGGAAGCTCAGCTCAGAGTTGCAGCATCAATTGGCAAGTCCTCAAGTGCTTGTTTACGTTTTCAGAGTCACACCATTGTGGTGGAGGAGAGAAAGTCTACAGTGAACACTGTCTAAATGCCACAAGAACAAGGCTGAATGAAAGTTGTGCTGAATAGCTAGGATGGCAGCTCTGGTAGAAAAGATGAACTGGGTCAAACACTTACTGATCGGTTTTGTATGACTTACAGGATCCATTTTCCATTCATGTAAACGGGATCACCTGGTCCTTTTCTGTTCTTTTCTCCTTACACAGCACCCCAGTCAGCTCCCCTCTCTCACTCTCCACCCCTCTAGGTTGGGCCATACCACAGCTTGTGTTGCATAACATGTTTTTCTATATGTTCTATATACTTCATCTGAACACTTTCTAGGCCTTGGAAGAAAGGCACAAGATAGAAGAAAGTAAATCAAAGCCAAAGTACTCTGAAATCTCTTGCCAGCAGTCTTTGGCTTGATCTGTATTCACACTGGAGATTGTCTCATGATGCATGTTGTTTATTATTATTATTATTATTATTATTTATTTTTTAAATAACAATTTTATCACCTTTCTTCCAGGGACCAGAATCATCTATGACAGGAAGTTTCTCCTAGAGTGCCGGAACTCCCCGATCGCACGGACCCCTCCGTGCTGTCTCCCTCACATTCCTGGGGTCACCATGCCTACTGCACACACACTGGGCAAACTACTGGAACATGAAGAGGACTGCAAGGACCTCCCTGGTGAGACTTGCTCTCACTTTCTCTCTGTCTTTCTTTATACAGTGGATTCCCTCACACGTGGCCTTTAACAGCGGCACATGCACCCTATTGTCGATTTTTGATCAGGTGACGTCTAGTAAAACTTGAGTAACAGGTTTCTGCATGTTATACTTTTAGAGGTCTAATAAAGCGGGACTAACGGCAGGCCTATGGCCATGAAATCTTAGGAGGGATCAAAGTTGAGTAGATGCTACTGTTTAAAAGTTTGGAAAACTGTGTTGCCCATATCTGCTTAAAATGATTCCAGTATACTAATACTGTGCAACCTCACAAGTGTCAGATAATTAGTATGAAGCAGTAAAACTAAAAAGAATATGCAGAATTCCTTGTAGTTGAGGCAGATAATTTGACAGTTATTGTAAAAGGATAATTATAGTGTAGTTGTTCGCAAATATGAATGTTCTAAATTATGTAAAATTGTACATAAAATAACATTGTGAACATTTTAGGCTTTTTAACAGTGTATTTGTCAACAAATGCTTTGCATGGCTGTCTTGTTGCTTTTACTATGGTTTTACAAAAATAAATTACAATATTCTGTGGAAAGGAGGCAAATTACGAGTCATCTTAACGTCTTGGTATCTGCCTAGGAGCAGCAGTTTCCAGCACCTACTTTGTATTTCCCTTTTTCTTTTAATCATAATGTCACGCTTCAAGGAGACTGAGCAACTGTTTCATGAGAAAAGCAAACAAAAACATGTATGATCTGCTCTCTAGACAAGTGGTTTCTCGTATCAAGGGGGGAGGGGGTAGCCTTGCTGTGTACATTGCAGCATGTGTGGCGCATGACTCTTGAGTTTCTATTTTTTTTTCTATAGGGAGAGTTTGTTCCGTCAGTCTATAAACTCACTCACCCTTCACCCTTCTCCCTCTCTCCCTCTCTCCCTCTCTCTCTCTCTCTCTCCACAGCTGAAGACAGCCAGTTTGTAATAGACATCTGAACCTGCAATGCAGCTCCTATGGAGAAATCGTCTATCACAGCCTTTTCTACCAGCCTTAGCTCCTGATCAGAGGGACCAGGGGTTCCCTCTTTTGTAATGCTTCCACATCCTTTTTTCCTTCATACTGAATAATAAAATGCTCAGATGTGGTTGATGTGAGGAGAGGAGATGCATTTTGAGTTTGGTGGAAATTTGGGATTGAGTAAGTGACTAACCTCTGTTATTGTGAGGGGGCACTCTGAGACCCTCCTTACTACGTTACATTCAGCAGAAAGGTAGACAAATGTCTGTAATTACCTTCTGTAATTGGTTGGGTTTGTTTCAGTGCAGCTTTTTTTTTTGTACTGGTTCTTCAGTAGGTTGAAGGTGGCCTGTTTGGGTCATTTATGTCAGTGCCTTGTACTGAACCTTTTGTGAAAACATTTTGTAATGACTACTAGTCAATCACGTGGTACAGGATGACTTTTAAATAAAACTGAAAACTGAGTTTCGTGTTGTCATTTTTTTTTGTTGTTTTGCTGCTTAAAATGAATGAAATGAGCTTTTACAGTTGAAAGGACACTGACAAAAGAACCAATTTCTTTTGGTGCCCTAAGAACTGATTTGAGAACCACTTCAGTACAGAACCTTGCATTTTGGTAAATGAGATATGCAAGTGTGTAGAACTGTTTTAACCCTTGTGTGGTGTTCAGGTCTGTGGAACCCATTTTCAATGTTTACCGAAAGAAAAAATTATGCAATATATTATTATTTCAACCTCAGATTCCTTGGCCTTTGCACATTTTCTGTGAGTAACATATAGAATGACACATGTTCAGTGACTTCACACTGCAAACCCCCCACACATATTACACGTGTGGTGTTGGGGTGAACCTGCGGGGAATAAAAGTGTGTATAAAAGAGGAATAAAAGGTGCTGTGTCGCTTTACTCTGTTCTCCTACATGGCCTGCTGTTAGTGTGTGTTTATCTGTGTTTGTATAGGTGTGAGGATGGACAACATGGACAGGCTGCTGACTGGCTACAGCTGCTGAAGGAGAACCCTACACTGGCCACTTGTGATATTTTAAACATCTGATATTTTTACATAAATCGTTATGGCTGTATTGATTTTAAAAAAAGCAATAATGCGGTGGGTCCACCAGACCACTGAGTAACAAAAACATGAACACCACATAAGGGTTAAGTAAAGAACCTCCACATAATGTAAAGGTTCTATACCAGTTAAATGTTTTCTGTTACACTCTTAAAGGTGCCAAAAAGTATTTTTTGTGTGATGCCATAGAAGAACCACTTTTGGTTCCTTGAAGAATGCATGGTTCTTTAGAGAACCATTTTTGTAAATGTGTGAAATGTATTTTAAGTTTCAAGAACCTAATATAATATAAAGGCTCTGGGATAAATCCTAAAACTGGAAAAGAATCCTTATGTAAAATGTTTTCCACATCCACAAATCCCTTTTTCAAACCTGTTGTTTTAGCAAAAGTGGTTCTTCTATGGCGTCACTCGAAGAAGAGTTAAGAGTGCCATGTCATATGTCCAAGCCAAGAACCATTTTTGGAAGCTCTATTTTTGAGTCTAACTGCTCTTGACTCTTCACAAAGAAAAAAATTGTCCATTTCTCATGTGATCCCCTCCAGATTTACTACAGCAATGTCTAAGACAGTGCTTAGCTGTTTACTGAAGTTTTTAATAACTGCACCGCCTTCCCCATGACCTGCAATGTGTACTCACAAAACAGCCTGGTTGTGCACTAACAGAACAAGTGTGTTCTGTCTGAGCTAGCCTGAAGGGAACGTGCAAAAGAGCAGCAACTGCACTGTAGCTGACTCATAACAGCATAATATGGCTGCGACCTCTACACAACTTGATCTCTGAATCGGAGAACGTGCTGAAGAGTATATATCACATATAGATAGAGCTAATTTTTACGTTTCTTTACATGGAGTGCCTGGCATCATGACAGCTCTATTAATGGCATCTCCAGCTGCAGGCTTTTGGAACATGATGTCACTCGGGAGTTCATTGAGTTGAGTCCCCGTGTGTTTGTTTTGTTTTAGGAGCTGTTTACTGACCAGTGTGCGCACTCGCTCTTTAATGCCTTCTCACCTAGTTTTACCTGGCCACAGAACTGCTCTGACACGAGACAAAGTGGCCTTGTTTTATCATGAAAGTTCAACGATTATTAGAGAGTCACGCTCCATACGCAAAGGCACGTTTTGAGGCCACAGACACGCAGCAGAAGTAAATTTGTAAATGAGAAGTTTGAGTGTGAACAGCTTTTTCAAAGTTTGAAGAACCTCCACATACTGTAAAAGTTTTATAAAAATAAATTATTAAATAAATAAATAAATAAAAGATACCATAGAAGAACCCATTTTGACTGTGAAGAACCTTCACATAGTGTAAAGGTTCTTTACCAATGTAAGGGTTCTTCTTAGGGCCTTTATATTAAATGACCATTCTTTAAACTCATATATCATTTACAAAAACGGTTCTCCAAAGAACCATCCTTTGAAAGGTTCTTTAGGGAACCAAGTGTTTTTTCAATGGCATATCTCCAAAGAACCCTTTACGTTTTTCAAGAGTGTAGCTTGTTTTCATCTGCTCTAAATAGAGTACAGAGCAAAAGAGGGAAAAAAAGGCACTCTGTGTGCATGATATCCTGTCCCGTTCCGGGAACAGTGCACCGGCTACTTAGAAATACTGGAACGCCACAAGGACAATGTTTTGCAAAATGCTTTTTTCCCTTTTTTGAGCCAAACAGGCAGTGAATGCATTCCTCAAATCGTTGCTGTCCTAAAAAAAAAAGGATTTCCAAACCAGCTGCCTTTTACCTTGTGTAAAATTGCTTGGAGTAAGATCTTTTAAAGAACATTTTACCTTCTCCCCGAAATATAAACTATGAAGTCCCTTAATTTTACATTCATGTTTTAGATTCTTTATTGCCTGTTTTTTTAAATTGCTTAGGTAACTTTTCTACCAAGCTTTATAGCATGGGTGTCCAATCTTATCCACAAAGGGCCAGTGTGGCTGCAGGTTTTCATTCCAGCATAGCAGCAGCTCACATGATCAGCAGTGTGAAGACTGCAACCAGATTAAACAAGTGGAATCAGGTGTGCTCCAGCTTGTTTTGAACGAAGACCTGCAGGAACACTGGACCTTTGCGGATACAATTGGACACCCCTGCTTTATAGTTCTATGAAACCTCTTCTTTTAATGATAACCTGAGTCTGTCCTGTTTAAGCATGTGTTCTATTAAGAAAAGTTCATTTTAATCTTGCAGTGTTGCTTTGTAGGCCTACAGTTTGGCATGTTTTCTCTGCAGGGTGACGTAAACTTGAAACCAGCTGCACAGTTTCTGCTGTGACCCACTGATAAGTGTCTGGGTCTTGGAGCAGGAGCACCTGCTGCTTTGATCAATCTTATCACACACTTTTTGGCCTCAGTCTTCTGTCCCCAGCAGGTTTCTGAGAAGTGACTTGTGTGTGTGCCGTATTGTGTTTTCTGTTCTCCTGGTAGAATTTTATGGATGAGTGTATCGATACTGAAGTTCTGACATTTTCTTTTCAGAATGGATCCTTATGGACGGAATTTCATGGCAAGTTAAAAAGTAGTCATTACAGTGGAAAAACTGCACACATGACATTATGTAGTAACATATGTACCAAAATGAAAAGCAAAACCTCTATTGCAGTGTTTTCATATTGCTCGATTACTTTACTGTGGAGCCCTGCAGGTGACATCCATTATAAATAAAAATGATGCATGGCCACGGCATATTAACACGTGGGAGCGAGATCCTAATGTGTGGCCATGACTTAGTAAGGTGTGGGGACAAGATAATTAAGTCATAGCCACGACTTAGTAAGGTGTGGGAACAAGATCACGTCTTATTAAGCTTTGTTCGAGGCTTAATTATTGCATTCCCATGCCCGACTAAGTCGAGGCCACGACTTAATCATCTCGTTCCCACGCCTTACTAGGTCGTGGCCACGCATTATTTTTATTTGTACGGGACGTCACGGGCTAAAAAAATGAAAAGCTGAATTCATGAATTTCTGTAGTACTGCACAACTACGTTGCTCTTCAGCACTACAAACATCACCTCATTGAAATGCAATCATCAGAGGAGAGAAAAGTGATGCACTTGTGCGTTTATAAAGCAACATGTGAAAAACCATCCATTGCATTAACATTGATTGTAGTATTGCACAGAGAAGAGTAGTAGCTGTGTGCTGATTACATTTCAAGGTGGAACGTATTCAATTCTGAGAAATGAAAAATGCAAAACTTCATGTGCTGTTTTTCAGTAAAGAGGTCAAGTGATGTGAAAATGATGTAATAGATATTTTCCTTTTGATTTTGGCACATATTCTGCGAGTCACTATGGGAATATAATTTCATGTGTGCCTTGCATTTTACAATAGCAAGTTTTACACACCAGAAGCTTTTAAAATTGTGTGTGTGTGTGTGTGTGTGTGTGTGTGTATGTGTGCGTGAGATTGTACACGAGTGTACATTTCCTCTGCTCAAGCCAGGAGGCATGCAGCTGAGTCACGTGCAGGAATGTTACAAACCCACTGCTACCCAGCATCGCATTTCACCCCCCGCCCCGCCACTGGCAGATACTTACAGACCACCAGCACAAGTAGTCTGACATATGTATTCACACCATATTTGTAGTTGATTGGTTTTGTGGATGGGGTGCATAAATATTTCGCTGTTGTCTAAAGGAAACCTCGTATACAAAAACGACAAAAACGGAGACAAGAGCTTTTCTTTTGCAGCGATTTATGGGATCATTCTTTTAACCACAAAGGATTTCAGTGTTTTAATTTCCCATTTCTTCCTGCTTAGTGTCTCTTTCAGATTTTCAACATTCTAAGTTCTTAGATTATGGAAATAATATTTTATATCCTACAAGAGTTCCTACTTTCAAAGAGTAGTATCTACCACGATACTGCCATCTTGTGGCCAACAGTGGTACTATTTGATGGTCTCAGTGATTCCCACAGGTGGGTTGTGTAGCCTAGTAATCAGTAGCGTAATCAATATCAGGTCAAACACATCTCTATAGAACTGCAAGGGACTTAATACATCCAGCATCTTTTAGCGCAAGAAATGTTGTTTTCTTACTAAAATGCTTGAAAAGCAGCTAAGCAGTGCAGGGGCTGAATCAACAGAGCAGAATGAAATAAAATTAAAGCCCCAAAAGGAATAAGGAACTAAATGTTCATGGCCAAAGTAAGTAAGCAGATCACTTCTTTACAACTGGAATTGGACATCATCAAAATGGAACTGGGAACTGAATAAACCGTCACTAGACTCCGCAACAGCTTCTTTCCTGAGGTGGTCAGATTATTGAATGTACTGATGCCCCCAACATACACCTGGACCAATCTAGACCCTTTTCAACATCCACCATAGACTGATCACACACCACTTTACCATCACTGCACACCTGCACTTTAAATTCTTTAAGTATATGAATTTGCCGTGAGATTTCTGTACAGTTTAGAGTGATGAGTGTTTGCATCAGTTCCTTCATCACTAAGTGATGCCAATCCATACATAATAAATATATGACTATTTTCAATTTGATGTCAGCAACATGTTTCAAGACAGTTGAGACTGGGAACAACTAATTAGATTATTTGGCAACAGGTCAGTAACATGATTGGGTATAAAAAGATCATCCCGGAGAGGATGAGTCTTTCAGAAGTAAAAATGGGGGCCTCCGTGAAAGGCTGCGCAGGAAAATAGTGAATAACAATTCAAGAATAACATTTCTCAGTGTAAAATAATGAAGAACTTGGGGATTTTATCATATTATGGTAGATGACATCTTTAAAAGATTCAGAGAATCTGGAGAAATGTTTGTATGGAAGACACAAGGCCGAAAACCAATATGATCTTCATAATTAAACAGTTTATATATAGTTTATGTATAAAATATATTTGGACAGGATCCAGGATCCACCTTCTCTGGTCCAGAACTCATTTAAGATGGACAGAGACAAAGTGTAAAAGTGTCCTGTGGTCTGACAAATTTGCAAATTCTTTTTGAAAATCTGTTATCAGTGCACAGTTCAAAAGCCAGTATTCATGATGATATACGAGTGCATTAGTGCACATGGCATGGGTGACTCGCACTGTAAAGGCACCATTAATGCTGAACGATGTATACTGGTTTTGGAACAACATATGCTGCCATCCAGACAGCGTCTCTTCCAGGGTAGGCCTTGTTTATTTCAGCAAGACAATGTAAAACCACATTCTGCATGTATTACAACAGCATGGCTCCATAGTAAAAGAAACCAGGTGCTAAACTGTCTGTCTGCAGTCCAGACCTGTCACCCATTGAAAATATCTGCCACATTATGAAACAAATAATATGACAAAACAGATCACGAACTGTTGAGCAGCTGAAATCCTGATCAAGTTAGAATGAGAGACATTTCACTTTCAACACTACAGCTGTTGGCCTACTCAGTTCTCAAATGCTTACAGAGTGTTGTTAAAAGAAGAGGTGATGAAACACAGTGGTAAACATGCCCCTGTCCCAACTTTTTTGGAATGTGTTTTTGGCATCAAATTCAAAATGGGCATATATTATCATATATTTGTTCTGTATATTTATTGTTGGTGTATTTATTATATACTCTGCGCTCTGTGTAGTCCTATTTAATGTGCTGCTGTTTTGTGTTGCACCATGGGGCCTGATGAACAACATTTTGTTCCACTGTATGAGTTATATTGAAGAATGAAAATGAAGACCACTTGACTTAACTTGATAAATACTAGTAGTCACCCACCTTAGATGATTTAAACTACTTTTACAAATAGAATAATAAATAAATTATGGGTTACAGGTTGCATTACTCTTATTACATCACAAAATACACAAATAGACCAGGCTCTACATCTTTAACACTTTAATTCAATCCATGACAACTCACAAGTTCATTAAAAAAATATAAAAAAGAAAGCAATACATTATGAAAAATGAAATTTGGCATTGTCAGGTCCTCATTTCTGATGTAAAGCTTATTGTTCATTGAGGCAGGTTGTGTTCTTTCTCTTTTCTTTGTTTCTTGACGTTACTATCTGTTCATCCTCCTCTTGCTCACGCCATGGATTCTCTCCTCTCTTGCTCGATAGCTGTGGAAACAAACACGGGTTAATAAAGACTCGCTGCATTCTGACACACCCTGGCTGGAGTGTGTGGAACCAAATTCATTCAATTTTGTTCAACTCAGGGGGAGAGGGGGGTAAACAGCACCAAATGGGCCTGAGTTGCATTAGCAAGAGGAGACAGCAGAAGGAGGCAGCTGGAGTAAGCTGATTTCACACTGATTGCGTCTGAAGTGGGCCACAGATGTGCACGCCCGGCTTCCACTTTGTGTAGCGTTAGTGCAAAGCTGATTAGATTTGAGTGGCACCATGGGGACTGCAGAAACAATAGTGTTTCTGTATGTTTATCTTTATCAGTGTCACACCTTTTTCCTCCAGTCACTGTTAAATGCTGGTAATTATCTTGTTCTCTTTTATATGTGACTAAATGGTGAATTTGCTGGAGCTGAATATCAAGTCTGATGTACGTTTGTAAAGGATTTAGCCAATCTTATGATTCTGTTTGACAAACCACATTATTCTGATGAACATGCTTTTTGTAAATTTAAATTAGGCAAAGTCACACAAGTAAAATCTAGAGCTTCATCATGTAGTTGCTTTTTATAAGGAGCCCAAATAGAGACACAGAGCACCATATAACAGAGAGAGAGTCAGATAGAGATGGAGATGAAGTGACAGAACTGTGATGGATTGTGAGATATTAAACATTAACACTTACTTTCCTTGGTTGGTAAAGGGTTCTTCTCCCGAGTTTCAGTCTTCTTCAGTTTTGTTTTGTCAAAGCTTGTGATTTCCATCATGTTGGGTTTGTCAGCCATGATTGTGTTGACTCTAAATACATATAACACATATAACATGTCAAGCATCAGATCTTTTATTCAACTCTAAAACTCATGAGGTGCAACATACAGTACTGCGCAAAAGTCAAAGACCAAAAAATATAACCTGAACTCTGAAGATGTGGTAAAACAAACCCATCAGATTTCTCTGAGAACTGAAAGCAAGTCTCAGATAAAGAATGAAAGCTGCAATTTTCTGATGCGGAAAAATAAATATCTTGGCCAATTTGAGATACATACATAATACAATTTACATTCACTCATACAACATTCATCTCATCACTGTTGTGAAAAAATCTTGTATCTTTTATGTATTGTAGGTAATATATATAGGTAAATTTGGACCATTTCTATTGTGCCATTTGTCATGAAACATTTGCACAGTGTAAAGGGCAGTTACATTTTCAAATTGCATTTCAATGTAAAAAAGAAGGAAAAAAAACAATAAAAATTAAGTTACAAGGTTTTAATATAACAGCAACAATATACATTCGCTCATTCAAATGAATTGAATCAGTCTGTCTCAATGAAAGAGTACATATTGAGACAATAACTTAGGAGATGCTGTTGTTACAGGTTGACAAAGGTCCATTCTGATTATATACAACAGTCAAGTAAAATTACTAAATAAATAAATAAATACAGCCTTTACAAATCAGAGAGCTGTTCTATATGGTAAGATACGAATGTGAAATCATGAGTCAGCCTATTTTACAACTGCTCTGAGACACACTGCTACCTGCCCTTCCACTCCTTCACTGATTCTTCCTTTGTTCTCCCTTTGTATGCCTTTCATCCAGCTGTCTCCAGCCGGCCACTGCATTCCCTCTCTCCTCTCTGAGTTGAACATTATCCCTGTACTAAAGGCAACATAAAATTAAGGCAGTCTCTCATACTTACATACAGAGCAGTATAATGCAGTCTTACCAGGTTTAGGGTGTGCCGGATGCTGCAGTGCTGGATTCAGTCTGTGTGTGAAGGGCAGTGAGACGAGTGAGCGTGCATGTGTGTGTAAATGTGTCTGTGCAGGCTGGGGAGGGGATTCCCATCAGTGAAGCCTTGGGCCTATCTGTATCTCCACCCCACCCCAACAGTATCAAATATTCATGGCACTGAAAAAGATGGTTGTGCTTTAGAAAGTGAATTTGCTGAGCATGCACTGCAGAGAACCGTACTGTACTTCATTCAGTTAAATTTAGAAAATGGTGAATGGTAAAATGATAAACTGGTAAAAAAGTGATGTAATAAAGGACAGAAAAAACATCAAAAGCAGATATTTTTGAAATGTTGCACACTGAAAAAGGTTTTACTTGATTCTACATGATTAAAATATATGACATCAGTACAAAAAGTACAGTCCACTTTTTATTGATTGGTTTATTTATTTTTTTTACACCATCTGAAAATGCAGCTGCCCTTTACATTGTGTGAACATTTCTCTATTAATGGATCAATAGATATTAACAACATTTTCTTGCATACATTAAACAAGCATTAAAATTTGGATTTTTTTTACTCTTTCTATAAAATATCAATTTGGAAATATGAAGTTTTGTCTCAACATTGACAATATTTTTATGAATGTGGAAATAACGTAGAGTACTGTGCAAAAGTAGTTTAGGCTCCTGAGAATTTTATTTAAAAAGCTATTTAACTGGGCAGTAAGCATTTATTGGCTCAGAAAAACTTAACCATCTACAATTTCCAAACCCCTCCTTGATGAAGTCCCATATTAATTGTAGTGACTATCCAATACCTACTTTGGCTAATTTCCATTAAATTAAAGCTGCACTATGTAAGTTTGGGGATTTGGAGACCTCTCTGGTGGAAATGTGTAATTGCAATGTGCAGAAGAACATATAATATTGGTTGTGCTTTGGACCCCTTCCCCCGAGAGGATGAATCTCATTATTGCAAGCGCATTAAAAGAGAATTCAAAGAGATGCGTCTCCTGAGGATGTGAGTCAATGATTTATTATTATCATCATATTTTCATCCGTATATTGCTGATTTTGCATTTGAGACTTAAACATTGATCTTCTTCTGGAGCCTGTGTCTCTGCTTTTACAAGCAAAAACATTCTTATTGCTCAGATAAATGGTTTAAAATGATTTGCTTAGGTGCCTAAAACCTTTGCACAGTACTGTTAGAATGAAGCAAATTCAAGGCATTACTGTTCTTCAGTGTATAAGACAGAAAAAGTGCTTTGGCTAAGAACCAATGCCGCAACATGATGTTCTAAATCAGCTCTTCAAATCATGCAAAAAACTGATGAAGTGGAACATATGCTACTTAAATATTCAATCAATTCTTGTTCATCCACATATTGCCGAGGCCTCTTACGTGAAAAACTGGAAGTGGAAAATCTTTGGACAGCTGAGAAAGCATTAGTGTTCACCCATACATAGTTGTAATTCCAGGTTTGGACCATGAGTCTGAGACAATAGAGGAGACGGGCGTGGTGTGTGTCAGCTGCTGTCCTGTGAGCAGTCTGACTCTGAACACATGGTGGCTGTGAACAGCTGTGTCAGAGACTCTTCCATATGGGGAGGAGGTGACAGTGAGTCTATCAGTAACACCCAGCTGCCCTGGAGAGGCCCAAGGGAGGAGAGTTCTTTAAGGCAGAGATCTGATCTCTGTTCTGGGCTTATGGTAACTGTTTGACAAAAAATGAAATTTAAAAAGTAATTTTCCCCAATTTTCTTACCCCAAATGTAGTCGATCAAATTAGCAATGTGAAAACAGCGTGTCTAAATCATCACACACTTGCCTCAAAGCACGTCGAGTGAGGTAATCTCAGATACACTTGCTTATGTGGTTTCTGACACTGTATGACACTTTTATCTCTAAATGTGGAAAAATTTATGTCACATCGATACAAACAGCAGAAGCAGTCATGTTGAAATCTGAATTTTCTCTGCACTTTTTTGTTTTTTATTTTATCCAACAGTATGTCATCCAGTGTCAGAAGTGTACTTACTCAGTTACTTACCAAAGGAGGCAAGTGTATGACTAAGTTGGCAGAATGGTCCACATGAGGCTTTTTTTTGCCAAACAGCCCAAAACATATTTTAGCTCAAAAGACTGCAAACTGATCTTTAAGTTTACACCTTAAGGTTTTTTATATGAGTTTATTGTTAATCACACACATTATCTAAGCCACTTATCCTCCTGGGACATAGGGGTGCTGAAGCCTATCCCAGCAGTCATTGAGCAGAACGCTGAAAATATCCTGGAGAGACTGCCAGTCCATCGCAGGGTGGACACATGCATTCACACACAGGGATACTTTAGCATCTCCAATATGTTAATAATATTTTGGACATATTTAATATTTTGCTTGTGGATTTTATTATTTTATTTGAAACCTTTGGCACAAAATTAACTCCATAGTTCTCCACCATTGTTTCATTAGCCACATCGATGCTTAACTTCCCTAAATATCACATTATCAGCGATCTTGGGTGCATGTATGTATCACAGGAACACCCTCTCTTAGGATTAGTGTTCGATACTCCTTGATATTTTGGATGTATTGATCCAAAGTACTTGCAGTTTTACAGGCTAAGAATTTCATTGGGTTAAATTTAAAATTGGGGACTTTTCAATGCCATAGTTGACATGGTGCGCTTGATAGCTTGTCAGGGGTAGCAACAGTAACCAAGGGGGTGACAGGGCTTAGCTAAGAGTCAGTTTGCCAGTTGCACCTGCTACAAAAAAGTGTCAGGTGGGTGTGATGTTGCGCTGCCTGTACAGGTTGAGAATGTATCAGTGCTCTTTTTCCATCATGTTGTGCTTGAGTTGAGTTGCTGGAAATAGTTGCTGGCCTCTTTTCCACTGCCAAACGGTTCTAAGCACGGAGTGTAACCACTTCAGTGGCATTTCCACACAGAACAAATAAAAACCAGGCTCAGTGTGTTTTTTTCCAGGGCCACAGAATCGTTAACTTAGAACCCGTAACAACATAGCTATGGTGCTGAACGGTCTGGTTCTGGAAATGAAAATCCTATTCGTAATAGCCATAGGACATTACATTTTTAACCAGAAAACTTTAACTGTTCAGTGTTGGCTTACCATGAGTTAGAAGATTGGGAGATAAATAAATCTGATTTCAACTTAAAAAAAAAAAAAATCATGTGTCATTCCCCCATTTCATGTAAACAAATACCCTACCCAGAGTCCTTAAAGCAAGCTCCACCATCAGAGATGTTGCTGTTTTAAATAAGTGGTTTGAAATAATTCTTAAAATTGTTATTTAATGGTAACAAAAGTTTCACACTAGGCCTGCTTAAGCAGCTTGCTAGCAAACAAGGGGAAAAAAAAGGAATCCCAAAACCAGAAAGACAAAAAGCAAATACTCTATGTACATAAAGCCATAATATAAACAATAATTACACAAATATATATGAAAACGCACAATTGCAAAAGTTGAACGGGCTAAAAACTGTTATTTGCAGTGCAGTTTGGGATCAGCAGTTCATCCTGACATTTAAAATAAGTGAAATTTAAAACAAAATAAGTACACAGTCTTGTACATTTGCCTTTTTGTTTATTTTTAAAAACTTTTCTGCTCCAAATAAATGTTTTAAATGTCATGATTGATCTAGTAGCTATTTGGTTCTGTTGGTTCTGTTGCTCAAAACTCTTTATATAAGGATTTTTTGAAATGTCTGTTGATAAAATGAATGTGATTTTTATTTCCAGAACCAGAGTTGCTGAAAAAGTGGGCAGTCACTGTTCAGCTGTATAAGGCTGTTAGCAGTTAGTTACTCTTTTGTGTAGTTTTCTTCTGGTTTTCCTGGTTCTAATTAGCAGCACAGAAGATGGAAAAAGAAACTGGTGAAACAAGTCCGCACCAGCATGGCCTACTGGCCTTCACCAGCATGCAAGACTGACAGCAGCAATGCGTTATTTTGAAACATAAAAAGAACTTGTTAATGCCTAAAAGCCTATTTTTCTAAATAATATGAAATAATAACTGTAATAGTATCATGAATGAGATGAGACTGGATGTAATTCCAGACAAACTGTCCAAAGTCAAAACACCAGCAGACAGGCTAATACAGGAAGAGCAGGCTCAAGGTCAGGGTACAAACAGGAGAAGAGTCAACATCCAGAGGACCTAACCAAACATAGAATGCAGGCTCAGAACATGAGTAACAACAAGAAACTTCACAAAGTATGGGCAGAACTGGGAAGGTTAATAAAGGACAGGCGTGGGGCTGGTGAACAGTAGGCTGGTGACACAGAGCGCAGAGGAACAGGTGGGACGGAGACGGGGGTATAAAATAGCTAGAATAACTCACAGTACTTTTACTTCTGATACTTAAGTACGTACATTTGTCCACAACTGATCTGTTTAAATACAGCGTAATGCCTCATTAAGTATGGATTGCTGTTGACTGATACATATTGAAACAGTGCAACAAAAAAATGGTCAATTTTCATTACGTTTTCTTCATTGACAGCAAACTCTCAAGATGTTTTTGTATATGTGCTGTGTGTGTGTTTTGCTGTTATTGTCATTTAACCTCTCAAATTCATATCAGTACTTGATTTGATGTATCCCCATGAGACCCCACATCCTTATATGAGGACATCACATTTCAGCTTCCCTGTGCCCTATACATTATTGTATCAATGTAAAAAACTGCTGTTTGGAAACAAGACGGATTGTGCTGCTGTCTAGTAGTATTAGTAAGTAGTACAACTTTGCAAGAGTGTTTAAAAAGTTGGCACCCATCTCTGTAAATCTGTCCTATAGGAGGAGCACAAGCAAAAATTGACAATGTATGAAACAACGTCATGTTTTAATGTCAAAATGAGTTTATTTACAGTTATGAAAGTTTGGTATGGTATTTACATGTAGTACTCACATCCTGTAAAGTTTATCCCTTAAGTTCTCTTTCGGTTATTATATTTGTCTATTAGAACCACTTTAGTGAGTAAAATAATCCATATGAGGACTAATATAATTCCTAAAATTGTTCTTACATAGTAACATAAGTTTCACTGCACTTGGACCACTTAAGCAACTTGCTAGCAAACAAGATGTAAAAAAAAACAAACCAGAAAGACAAAAAGCAACACCATATTCACATAAAACTATAATAAAACAATAATAACTTTGTAAATTTAGCACCAGTAATAAACATGTAGTACTCATATGAACAAAGTGGAACAATATTGCCATAAAGTTTATGCATAATAACAAGCCAGTCGGATAATATACCACATAATTTGAATCACACGTCATATTCATTATTCAGCCTCCTTGTCTATTTTAGCTTATTACTTTGCATGGAATGATTTTAACACTGTGCATATGCTGTGGGAAATGTGATATGTTCCTGTGCTTGCAAAGTGGAACTGTTGTCAGCATTTCACACTCGAGAAAAGCAGACACTTCTAGACCAGGTAGCGAACTGAAGAATGATGACTGTGCTGTTAAGTCATTTGAAATGTATCTGTATTTTGTAGGTTATAGTGAATTCTCTGCTGTAGAAATGTAAGCAAATACATTATTCAGGACAGATGCATTCTAAAGCACTCTAAGCAGATACACACAGGTAGAACACCTTTGTTGTTGTTTATGAAGACTGTTAACAACTTTCTCTGTTAAGCCAGGTTTAGATACTCTGTGATTAACCCACATGAAAGTGTTAATGGCGAACAACCAATGGCATGAAACACAAGGAGGATTCAGGATAGGCCTGGGCGATGTAACTGGATATCATCCATGATGGATAAGTAACCTGATGGTGATGTGTAAAAGGCGATATTATGCGTTTTGGTAAAAACATTGAGAAAGAATTAGAGAAGACTAATTTACCATTAAACAGCTTGTTAAATACATTGGGAAACTGGGGTTCATGTTTAAGAGGTGTGCAGTGTGCAGAGGTTTGTCAAGAAACTGCCTTTGTTATTTCTCTCTGCTACGCACTGTAACTCTAGCTTTACCACACAGTTTGCCCTTAATTTACTTTATGTGAATGGAATTGAAAATGAATGTTGATGTGCTTTGGAACCTCAGCTCTCCTCAAAGTGACTCGCTGCAGTAAAAAAAAATAAAAGCCAAAATGACTGTATGTTAGCGTATTGCAACTAAGTTAACTCTAACCTGGAGACAAAGTTCCTCTGATCCTCGTCTATGGAAGAGGGTAATAAATAATATTACATAAAATATACTGTTTTATTCACTTTACTCTTAAAAAACTGAGTAATAATGGGGCGTTTAAAGCTTCAGTAGAGTATACTCCCCCACTGCGTATGCCATGTGCGATTTACTGAGTAAAATGTGCAATATTGTTTGTACAGACTAAGTGTCCTAGTGGTTAGCTGAATTATGAACACACTGCTGTAATGATGGAAAGTGTGTTGGCATGGCTTTGGAAATCACTTGCTGCCTGAATTTTCACCAGCAATGAGCGCTGTTTGAGGTTAGCTGGCTATGTAATAACAGCCCCTGGTCTCTCTGAAAG